GTATGGCGTCCGGAAAAGCTATTGTCTCGACATATGTGCTATCCCCTAACTTGTGATATGTAGCTGGGAGCAATTTCATCGTGTAAGAGCCTGTTGCGGGCCATCGAAGCCTCGCATGCAGATTTACCACCCATATCCGCTTTTCCCAAGTCTCATATTGTCACTTTTAAATACTATCTTGGAGTGATCTGTTTTCTTGAAGAGAACTATGCAGAGGTGCGCACGATCCTAGAATGAATTAAATTACCCAATTGCTTTGATATAATATTAACCATTTAGCTATTTAGGCTGAGGTGCATCTAACCTACGCCTGGAAAATGTGCCACCCTGAAGCGAAGAAAAATAGAGAGTGGGTGCAAAATACTCCCCGTCAGAATGGCATCGGTACTAAAAAGTCATACTTAGACTCATTCTTACCTACCTTATCCCCTGCCACATTGTCACGACTCACACGCTACCAACACATCGACTCCTGGCCCCCTACCCTCGCCTAGAGAACTTATACAGCCCTTTGAGCAAATGTATCAAGAAGGGCGATCTCACAGGCTTCGATGCAGCTATGGCCGCCGGAGAAAATGAATTCGTCAGAAGACGTATCTATCTACCTCTCGAACGGGGTCGGGACATTGCGCTGCGCAATCTCTTCCGCAAAGTTTTCTTGGCCGGAGGATTTGATCCACCAGTTAATGGTCAATCACCTATCAGACGCACGCGAGTCCCGGTTGCAGAATTCGCGGCTGCCATTAGGTTGGGGAACAAGGTGGATGAGAAGGCGCCGCTGGACATGGACGAAGTTGAATGCTTCCTGGCTAACTTAATTTACAAGGTGGCTGCTAACTCCATTGATCAACGATTCCGTCCTAGGCCCCGTGGGGTCCTGGGCCCCAACACCATTTGTCTGCTGACCTGCTGACTGATTTAATTCGCAGAATTTAATGAAAGGGTACATTTCCCGTGACAGAGGGATTGTCGTGCTAAGTAAAGGGGGTACAGCCTTTCCTGGAACCGGTGTCTGATACGCATATCTCTTTGACCCCTATACCATACATGGCATAAGTCTTACGATATGACTTGTGCACACTTAGCTCGTATTCTTGACTATCCTGATATCGTATGAGAAGGGGGAAGTGATGGGAACGCGTACCTTTGTCTGTGAGCCATTGACGATTGAAAGATCCTGGTCTCACCGATAACTCCGGAGCTCGCAGTTTGGCTTATTAGCCACCTCATTCATCGCTCCCCGGGACAGATTCGAGTCGTCGCATCCGTCGTACCCACATTATAATACATCAGTCACATCCGAATGGTGCACCTGATATTCAGCTGCCGTCCTGCGCACATTTGCCAAAATTATATTTGGGATCCACGCACAGAATATCTATCCAATCCGACTTCGATTCTGGATGTATCATTGTTCTGTGATTTTGCAAAATCTTCCCAGCGCATGGCCTGGGAAGTCGGAGATATGCCCTGCAAGGGGCACAGTCAGGTCACGTTATCCTGAAATTGAAGTTGTCGGGCATTTAGCTACAAAGGCTACAACCGCCAGCAAAGCTACAGGTGTCATTGGCTTATTAAAGGTGGGCGTTGGGCGGTTGGTTCCTTGCATTAGCGAGGAGATGTGGACAGCCGCCCCGCGTAGTTTTGTTGATTTTAATTGTATCTAGAGAGAAGAGTTGCGCTCCTTTTGTGTGGATGATCTAATTCGACTCCAAGGCTTGGGGGCCGAGACTTTTCGGTTCAACCGCCCGAATATAGTCAACGTCAAGACGCTCCGGATTGCTATTGGGGGTGACAAAGGTTTCTGGGTTTTATTTGGCCATTGAAAATAGCCAAATGTCTCAAATATCTCCCTCCGTATGTACAATTAGCGGCCTATTTGCCTCATTTCCTTATATAAAGGTAGTCGGTTTCCCTTCCATATCAATTCTGCATCACACAATTATACCTCTTTCATCCCGTAGAATAATCACTCAATTACATTCTCTATCCTTTGTTCTATCCTATTTCATCTGCTTTTATCGCTAAGCCGCTGGGTTGTCGAGTTCTATGTACTCCTTGGTGATGCTGTTGGGGCTCACTGGTTCTACTAACGCAAGTCAGGGGTCTCGTACACCTACATAATTTTCTCAATGTCACCTCTCAAGAACAACAAATCTCTCCACAACACTCTTTTATTTTTCTATTTTTTAATTATATATATATCAGTATCTCGTCTTCCCCTGATAATTCCAATCTGTTTCCTCTGACAAATCTCTCAAAGAAGGCAAAAGAGACCAAAAACCCTAAACTCAACTGAGACCATTTCACTGTTTTCTCATTTACCACAGCAATTCACATAATTCTTCAAAGATACGCAAGGAAAAGCAAAGACGCAATATACCCTGCTACCGGAAAGACAACGCCCAGAGCATACAAATGGAACTAGAGAAAAACAGTGTGTTTAGGAATGACGGTATAGCTTCAGCTTGAGAGATTGATTTCGAAAAGGGGCAATGACCGCAGATGCAGAGGAGATTTTGCGGTGTGTAGTTAAAACATGGCAGTGGTATGAAATGGCAACATTAATGGGCAAATAGATAAACTGTCATAGTCAGAAAAATCTGTCAAGTGCATGAGAAAGCCACATGAAACAGGAGAGGAGGAGGAAGTGGAAGAAAGTACAACGTTTTTTCAAAATAATCAAAAAAAAAAAAAAAAAAAAAGCATGTCTCGACCAAAGCCTTTTCTTTTGCGAAAAAATATTTGTTGGGAGACGGTGGTAGTTATCCTTTTCCTCCCCCCCTTTTCATCATGCTTCCGACAAGCGGGAGAAAGAAAATACGGTGCAGCAGGTGGGAGATAGTGGTGTATGAAAGGGGGAAGCGGGGAATAGATGGAAATAAGAAGAAAGAAAAGAAGAAATACATAAAGGGAATTGACAAATCGAGATAATAGTGGATAAAAAGAAAAGAAATGAAATGGAAATAATGTACAGAGGGTGCACAAGATATTGCAGGTGATAAAAACAGATAAAAACAGATTGATAGGACTATGGGAAAGGAAGATGGAATAAGGAGATGGATTATTTTTCCTGCTTCCAAGTTTTCCTACCCATTTTCGACCATGGGACCAGTGCGGTCATGGTGTAGGGATACATTATAATATACATGATAAGATAGGTAAAAGGGGTGTCGTCAGGTTGACCGTGGAGATCGGATGGCGAGGAGCAGGAGTGGTGAAGTGATTTGAGATTGAGAGGGGTGGATCGTTTGCATGGGATGGGATGAGGTGAGTTGAGTTGAGATGGAGTGGTCCGGAGTGGAGTGGAAGGTCCCTTAGATGTATGTATGTACGGTCATGATCCGATCCGATCCATTAAACTTAGCGGGAGAAGGGCGACTTGGAGGCATTCGTAAGGTCATCCTGATACATAGATATAGTTAGCATTGGACATCTACTATTACATTAAATATCCATGGTGACTGCCACCCCTAAAAAAAATTCACCATCCAAAGATTCATGAAAAAGCATCAAAAACTATTAAACACCCAAAACTCACCATATGATTACACATAGCCACAAACAGATCGAAAAACAACTTGCCCCCCTCCTCCATCTCCATCTGCATGGTCCCACTGCGCTTGAAAGTCGATCGACTCCGAATAATCAGCGCGAGATAATGTGCTCGCAGCTTCGAGTCGTTATCGGGCGTGTTTGCATAGGCGTAGCGGGCACTGGATAGGATCGTGCTGCACTGAACGGCGACCTGGAGACCCTGTTTACGCAGCGCGAGGCGCTTGAGGTCGTCCAGGCCGTATTTTTCGGCGGCGCAGCTACATGGATATAGTTGTTAGCTAGGGACAGGAACACAAAATACACACACACACACACACACATATATATATATATATGGCTAGGATACTCACTAAACGGCTGTATCCTTCAGAATAACACTCCCATCCACCTGACATACAATCGTCGACTCGATTCCCTGCTGCTGCATCCTCCCTGAGGCGTTGTTGCTAGCTCCATTCTCCAGCTCCCACAAATCTCGACGCTTATTGTGCAGGAGGCGCGGGTAGTAGTCGCCCTTGTACAGGTACTCGAGGATGCAGGAGAGGATTTCCGGCTGTTCGTCTGGGAGGTTTATGCGTTTGGAGTGGGATTCGAGGAATTGGCGGCGACAGCAGGTGGCGAAGAAGGAGGAGATGCAGAGGACGTCTTGGTGGGCGGCAAAGAGGCGCTGGTCGGGGCCGACGCAGAGGGTGATTATGGCGGAGGATAGGTGGCTGGATGGAGAGGAAAAGGGGTGTTAAGGGTAATGGGTAATGGGCATTTGGATAAAGAGGCACAAATCACAAGACTTACGGGCTTACTGGGGGGCTGCTGCTGCTGCTGCTCTCTAGGTTTTGAGATGTGCTTTCTGCCCGTCTGACGCTTGTTGAGGGATCTCTGAAGGACCTCTTTGATGATCGAGAGGAGGAGGATTTACCGGCTCGATATTTGGAGGAGAAACTTTCTCGACGATGGCTCTGGGAGGATCGTCTGATAAACATGGTGCCCTGGCTGGATGTGTGTTGTGTTTTTCTGTGGAGGGGGGATTATATATGTCTCTTCTGGATGTTCCCGTTTTCTGGCTTTCTATTCTTTCTACTTATTCTCTCTTTTAATACCTGTCTTTCCTCCAGAGAAAGGAAGCAGAAAGACAAGACCAGAGAACAGCCAGACTTTAAAGATATATCTCTCTGTCTTGTTTGCCTGGCATCTACTGGAGACAGCGAGGGGAAGAGGAGAAGAGGAGAAAGGAGGCGAAAGGAGGCGAAAGGGAAAAAGAATGAAAATTTTTCTCCCCAGTCAGCCTGGAGGGTGCAGAGGGATGTTATATAGGGATATGCATTGCACAGTAATAGGAGTAATCTGGAGTAATACGGGTGCACTGTCCCCAGGCCTAAACTTCCTGGCTATGTATTATTCCTAACTAAAATATTTTCTCACATATGACAGGCAGTCGCCCCAAATCAAATGGGGGAAACTGAGCCGCAGACGACGCCGAATGCGTGCTCCAAAGAATCCATACCATTCACCATCCTCACCTCCTCATCTCTCTGTTCCCGTCTTCCCTGAGTGTGTCTGTATGGGCTGTGTCTGCCGTGAGGCAGCGTTCTGTGTCCGCAACAATGTGATAGCGGGCGACGCGGCTTGCGCTAGGGCGACGTGTAAAGTGGGAACGCGATTTCAGGTGACTCACACGCAGTCACGTGGACACCATTGAGCAACTAATTTCAGCGCTAACGGCATCCCACAGCCAATCAGAGGCGGGACCAGTCCACACCCTTCCCCACAGAGGGCTTGGCATCAGAAGCGGAAGGAGCTCCTTGGGGTTGATCAGGGGTAATGCCCAGTTATGGCAGGTATTGGACAGGCATTGGAAGGGGCTGTACGGAGTCATGCTGGTACCATACCACAGCGACGCTAAGCTGGTGGGGGGAATATATTAATATGTGATGTATCAGTGTATCAAGAGACAAGGAGCAAATATGAAAGCCGGAAGTGGGAACCCGCAGAAATGGATTAACAGAGAGGAGGAGAGCTAATTAGCCAGAATATGTCAGAGACAGGCAGGCAGACAAAACTCTCTACAAAAGCCTGTGCCGAATACATGTACTTACCGACCATGGACCTCCTGGGCTTGGGCACGATCTGCAAGGAACCAGCTGCTGTATCGTACATATCATGATACCTATCGATGCAATCCTCCCCCCCCCACAACAGCCAGTCAAAGAAAGAAAATGCAACATCCATTATCATACCCATGAGACAGACAGACAGACCATGAAGCCATGGGAACAATCCCAGAACTTCGGTTGCCAGGATATCCAAGCTTGGCCTGCAGCTAGAAACCAGCTTGCCCAAAGCAGGAGGAGACAGGGATGGATTGGGGGGGGGGGAAAAAAAAAGAAAGAAAGAAAGAAAGAAAAGAGGTTGACGGTGAATACATGATGGTCTCGTTCATTTCTTTACTACTGATTATGACCCATTACTACTCCAGACTTGCATTTATTTGCGGTTCCACGCTTTGTAGAGGCATTGTTTATTCATACAATATGTCAGGGCAAAAAGGAGAGAAAGAAAGAAAGAAACATGCCTGGATGTAAAATAGCATTAACTCAATGCTTTGGAGTTTTAAATGACAGATGCCACCAATACATGGAGGGCCTGGCTCCGTACTTATTGGTAGATATACTATTTACTTTCGGTACCACATTCGAGTAATTCGGGTGTGTCGCATCTTCTTTTGTAGTTGGAAAATCCCATACATAAGAGCTTCTGAAGTTGGTGGGCCTGGCAGCGACGAAGTTAGGCAACGAGAGTCATCTGGGTGAAATCGTGGAAGGAAACTTACAGCCGGGAACATATATGTCAACTGGCACTATCCTATCACAGCCTCTTGTGACTGAGTAGCTGTAATGGTAGTAGCCACCTCCATTTGCACAGCTTCCCATGCTGATAACCCAGCGAGGATCAGGCATCTGATCATAAACCTGCCTTAATGCCGGTGCCATTTTGTTGGTCAACGTTCCGGCCACGATCATCACATCCGATTGTCGCGGAGAGGCTCGGAAAATAATACCCAGTCGATCCTGGTCATAGCGAGGAGTCGACAAATGCATCATCTCCACGGCACAGCAAGCTAGCCCGAAAGTCATTGGCCATAACGAGCTCTGCCGTGCCCAATTGGTGACCTGGTCGAGGGTTGTCCTGTGCAGATGATAAAATATTAGCCCAATCTCAGGCACAAGGAGAGATCAGAGAGAAGTTCGGAGTTGCCATACAATGCGAATTGCATCGCGCCACCCTTCTTCTCCTGGCTCGGTAGAGGAACTTCTCTTCGCGGTTTGCCTGTTGCTGTAAGTTGAGAACTGGCATGTTCTTGTCTTGCAACGGCTGTCGAGGCATTGCGAGTTGAAAATAAAGCACCGGGATAGATGGAATGCCGCAGGACGGAAGTTGAGATTGGAGAGGCAACTTCACATAGATGAAGATTAGAAGGCGAACTTTTGACTTGGATGATTTTGGGGACACTTACTGCACGGCGCTGCCCGCACTGACGCCTGCTTTAGTGAAAGCATTGTCAAAATGTATTTACCCTGCCTGAGGAAATGCAGGTCAAGGGAATTCTGTCAAGGCGGGTGCTGCGGGATAATTCATAGAGAGAGAGACCTAGGTATTCCATAGGATGCCGTTGGTGCAAGTTCCTACAGGTAGAGAGGAGATAAAGAGGGCTTAGCGCCGTATGAAAGGCGGAGGTACTGGTAATTACGAAGTCACATTACATTACATTACATGCGGTACTGTGTATTGAGTGAGTATGTACAGTACAGGACCTCTGGATCGAAGCACCCAAACCTGAAACATCTCATTTCAGCAGCGATACAGTTGTTATGGTAATATATTTAGTGAGGGAATGACGCAAGATCAAAAGAGGTAATTAATTAGAGAAGTTTCATTGAAAACTCCAATTTCCATCTTCCATCTTCCATCCATCAATAAACCTTGGACATGCTTATGTACTGTATGGTGCTATACACTTCTTCGTACTCTGCGAAGTCCTCAAGATAGTGTCAAGAAATCCATTGGAGTCATGTTCACAGCATACAAATAAATAAACAGCAAACCAGAATCAAAAGAGAGGATGGGCTCACCCTCCATCGCTTGCATCGGCATAATTGGAAAATTTGTAAGAATCTGATACCTGTCCACTGTCACCTGCGGGTATGAATTTTTTTTTTTTTTTTTTTTTTTTTTTGGCTGACAGCTTGATGATGCAGAACGACCCTCTCCATATTTCAATATTCTCACCCCATGAAGCCTCCAGGCTCGAGCTCTCATTTCTCTTAAACTCATGTCTCGACCTCTTTGAGATACGCCGGAAGCACACCTCGGTTGATCAGGATTTGGGTTTGTTGCATGCCTTTGACGAACGATTCGCGGCCTATGGCTGGCTCACAAACACCGATGTGAAATTTTTAATAATCGTGGATATGGGCGCGCAACCCGTATCGGGAAGGGATGAGAAGAAAGTCCCACCCCTTGTTGGCCTTCGCGATTCAGATTTGAAGCCGGCAAGTTAATAATACCTCCACACATTTACACAGCCTGCTAATGTTCCTAAACCAGACTTTCCGGGCATTGCAGTCAGCATATATTAAGCTGCTGCAAAATCCCTTCTACCAGGCCAATGATGGCACTACACCTTTAGGGAGAACCACCATGTTTACCTCAGAACATTTGAAAACGGCAAATAATAAATTTGTTCAAGAAATTCATCATATTGGTGAATCTTGGTCTGTTGATACTAAAGGTGATTAAGTTAATTAAGTATATTATTTTATTTATTATTTTATTATTATTCTTCATTTTAAGTGTATGCAGTCAAAGACTGTGAGATCTATCTAGTTAAACTAAAATTTAACTATTTTATAAATTTGATATATATTAACTATAAATAAAATATGAAGAATTTCATTCAAAAATAATATAGTATTTAAATAGACTTGTAGTAAAAAGTCAAAAATTATATAAAATTAGTATAGTGAAAAATTAGCAGAAATAGAAAAAAAAATTAAATTAAAAATAAAATAATAAAAAATTAAAGAAATAGAAAAAATTATAATATTAAAAAAAAATTTAAAAAAATAATAAAAAGAAAAGTAATAATAAATAAAAAAATATATAAAAAATAAAATAATATCTAAATTTTGATATCAATTAATAATATAATATAAATAAAAAAAATTATTTTTCAAGATAATTTTTATTTTTAAAATAAAATTTATTAAAATTTTTTATTTTAATATTAAAAAAAATATATTTAATAAATTAATAAAGAATTTTTAATTTTTTATAAAATTTAAAATAATTATATTTAATTTTAATTAATATTATTTTATTAATACTATTTTATTTTATATATAATATAAAATATATATAAATTATAAATAATATAAAAAGTAATTATAATAATATAAATATAAATTATATAATTAAAAATTAAAATTTTTTTATATTAATTATATTAATAAATTTAGTTATATTATTTTATATTATTTTTTTAAAATAATTTATATATAAATATAAATTTATAATTAAAATTAATATTTTTAAAAACTATTTTTATAATTTTAATAATTTTTATATTTATTATTATTATTATATTATATATATTTTTCAATATATTATGATTTAATTTAAAGTTAAGATGATAATAAAAAATTTAATTTATCTATTTAACAAGATATCTGCAATGAGAATACTAAACTGAAAATTAAAATATGAAATGAATAAATAGCTGAATATGAAGAGATGATTAAAAATTAAATTCAATCAATTTTTCAAAGTAGAATGAAGTGTCATAGCTTCAATCTAGATGCAGATGAACAAATATTTAATTATCAATTAAATAAATTATCTGAGTATATACTAAGATGATTTCTAAAAGATGAGTTTAGAGAAAACTCTATTTATATAGCTTTTTTCTTAGTACAGTTGTCATGTGATTGCCATGTTTATATGTTATTCATATGTGAGGTAATTATGAGGTTAATTGCTATGCTGATGCCTAGACAGTTTGTGATTACTGTGTTTAAACAGTTGCAATTATCATTATCTCAGTCTTATACTATTGAAAAGACTAAAGAGCCTATTCTATATCATCACATTACTTCATCTTGAGATTTAGACATGTTTTCATGCTAGTAGATTATCATTTACTTTATTTGCTAGATAGTCATTCTTTTCTCAAATCTTCAGTCATTTACTCAATTGCTTTGAGAAACTCTGCTTTTGTTGAATTTGCAGTATGAAATTCTCAAATCAAATATAAAGATTTTTTTAGATTTTGTACTGAATACCATATTGAATCATCATCAAATTTTAGTTATTTTACTTAATATTAAAGCTTCTCATAAGAGATTCAGCTTATTAGAATATTCTCAACTTCTCATTTATTTTCATTCTGTATCTTGATTGAATTTGATATCTCATTTAGTTGTCTCAGTAGAGAATCATTCATAGCTTTTCATAGTTTATCAGAAAAGAATATAAGGTGAATTTTTATGTTGTTTGATAGTCTTAGTCTATAGCTGTTGTCAACACTCTCAATTATCTCAAAGAAGCTCTTATTTTGCTCTGTGAGCTTTCTGCTAGAGTGTTAAATTCTATAGTTCTTAAGTGACAGAAAGACTTTATCTTCTATTTCAAAGTTTAATTTCTAACAGTGCTTGTTGATTTGTGATTTCATGATCTCTTGTGTCTTTTTCATATTATCAGCTGTCTGCTTTCAGATCTTCTTCATTTGAATAACATATTGCTGAGCATCTTTTTGATTGAGTTTCTCTTCTCTAGATTGTATTCTTGATAGTGACTTTCAATCAAAGAACATTTAAAATTTATATTCATAAGCGGTTTGAAAGAGTATCATCTCAGTTGATTCATTCATCAGAACTTTATCTATATAGTTTATCATTAATAATCACTTATCTCAGTTGTTTTGATAGTAGTTTATATATGAATAAAGCTTGATCATTAGATATTGATTGACAATCTCAGTCTAACTATTTGTTTACACATGATGAGCTGATGATAGCTTTAGTTTAACTCTTAATCATTTGATGAACTCACTTCAGATGTCTGAAATAAATTGTGATTTACAATCTAACACAATTAAATCTGATGATTTATAATACTTATAATAATGCTTCAAGAACAGTATTATCAGCTCTTTGACATCTGTCTTTCTTATGATAAAAATAAATACAGACTTCTTGCTTAGTTAACATACAATTATTAATATTATACCATGACCTCTTTTTGTCATAGAATCATTTATGAAGTTCATAGAGATGTATTGTCAGACTTTATCTAAGATTAATAGTGACTTCAGCAGCTCTAAAGTTCTATCACAGAAGATTTTCATTCATCAATATATTAAGTAATTTTTTATATACTGGTCAACATTCTTGATTCAGTTATTTTAATAGTATCTTATCTTTACTCGTGAGTGTAGCTTTTCCTTCTCAGAATGCATTGTTGATGACTATTCATAAATCTTCTTTAGAAGATATATCTGAAAAGTAGAATTTTTCTCAATTAATATCATTAAATGCTTTTCAAAATATAAAAGTTCATCTGTTAGTTCTTAGTGCTATTCTTCTCATTGTACATTATCATATCATAATTTCACTGATTCTGTCTTTTTATTTCTTGTTTTAACTTCATCAAAAATATACTTATTTATATCTATAGTTTTTATTTTAATAAATTTCTTGATGATTTTGAGATTTAATTATTTTAACTTGAGAAACAATTGTATTTAAATATTTTTACTGTCTTTATGAACCTCTGACTGACTCAGCATATTTGCTAATATATTCTAACATCTGAGTTAATATTGAATTAGAAAGTAGAATTAGAAGAGAAACTCTGCTCATTGTATTTATTAGATATTGAGATTCTTAGTTGTCATAAAGTATTCAAAAATCTGATAATCAGTTAGAATCTTGAATTTTTCTATTCTCTGAAGGTTTTTCAACTCAGTTTATCATTCTGTCAATGCTTTCACAATTGCTAGCATCTTCTTATCATGAATTTCATAGTTTCTCTTTACTTTACTCATAAAAGCTGAGTAAAAGATAATAAAATATCACTATTCATTTTCATACAGCTGAGATAAGACGTCAGCTATAGCATTATCTGACATATTCATCTTCATCTGTATTTCTCAATTTGAGTTATAATGATAGTGCACTGAAGCTTCAGACAGAGCTCTATTTATTTGATCAAAGCTATGCTGACAGATTTTATTTTACTTGAAAGATTGATTCTTTTGAATGAGCTTAAATAATAATCTTATAATTCAGCTGTATTTTTTGATAAAATATCAATAGAAGTTGTAGAATCTCAAGAAGAATTAGACTCTTTTGATTATACTAGATACTACTTATTGTGATATCACTGTAATTTTTTCTAAATTCACTTTGATCTTTTGATCAGTTATAATAAAATTCAATATTTTATCTGTTGAACATGAAACTTACATTTTGAGATGCTTGTCTGTAGTTCAGCTTCTCATAATCTGATTAATATCTTCTTGATATACTTCTTGTATTCTCTTAAGATTTTACTATAAATCAGCAGATCATTTATAAAAGCAGTTATAAACTAATTCAAATAGTTAAAGAAAATAGTATTCATAAAGTGCTAAAAGATCACTGAGTTATTGCTTAAATCAAAGAGTATAATCTTATATTTATAGATTTTATAATGTGTTCTAAAGACTGTCAAATTCTCAGTCTCAAAGTGTATATGTATTCAATAAAAGTCTTGATGAATATTCAATTTGATAAAGAATTTAACTTTATTTAATCACTTTATAAGCTCATCAACTAGTGAAATCAGGTATCAGTCCTTCTTCAAGATTGCATTAAACTGGTGATAATTTACATAAAATCTCAGCTTATCTGCTATATAAGCTATAAGAATTAAAAATATAAAGAAAAAAATCACTGATAAGATAAAACTCTTCTTTAAATTATTCTCAAAATACTATTTGACTATCTCAAGCTCTTTCAGACTTATTCAATATAATAATATATGACTAAAAACTTTATTCAGATCTACTTCTTTTTCAAATTTAATCTTATAATTCACTTTTTTTCAGAAGAGTGATAATTGATCAGAGACTATCTTTAAAAAAATATTATAAAATTTCTAGTAGTTTTCTAGTAGTTATTTATTAATTATCTTTTTATTTTTTATTTTTACATCAATAATGATCTTTTTCTTCTCAATAATTCTATTTATTTCACAGAGACTTGAAATAAAAATCTCTAATTTCTTGCTTTTTTTATAATGATAAAAGATCACTCTCTCAATGAACATCATTTCTTACTATTTGTATGATTTATTTCTTTATTGAGCTCTCATAAGTTTTTCTGTAATCTTCTACTTGAATTTTTTATTGATAAATCTGTTATAGTAATTTGCATCTTATTGATACTCTGACTTCATCACTAATTTCTTTAAAATCTTTCTTAAGATTATTATATTACATTCTTTTGATATATTATTTGTAAATATCTGCATACTTGATCATACTAAATATTGATTTTTTATATCTAGTCAGATCTCTTACTTTATCAGTCAGAACTATTTTAGAATCACATCAGTACTTCTCAAATCTGTCATTAGCATCAGCATGTTAAGAAATTTTTGTTTATTTACTTATAAATGCAGTGAAATGACTTCTATAATTGAAGTTTCTCTCTGATCATTGAATTTTACAATTTGATGATTTTTTTTCAGCTTCTTGAGATTTACTTCTAAGACTTTGATACATTTGCATATAAAGCTTATATCAATAAAAATACAGCAATTTGCTTCAGAATCTACTAGTACTTTTATAGAAATAGTATATTTATTAAAAACTATTTTGATATATACAGTAAAAAAATTTTCACTTATCAACTGATTTATATTCAAAGTTTCTAGTGCAACTATATTATCTGAGAAGAAGATTTCTCTTAGATTTAATTTTTTTCTAACTCAGTGATAGTAGTTTCAATAGTCACTTTCTTTAGTTCTATCTCTTGCATATATAGATAATGTCATACTATATGATCTTTGCTTCAGCAATTAAAGTATTTTATATTCTTTTTTCAATTTTTATTTTTTAATTTATTTTCAATTATCTGTGTTAATATGACTAAAGTTTCTTCATAACTGATTCAGATTATTGAAGTCTCTTTATGACTGAGTAGTTGTCAGTTATTTTAACTAGATATGCTTTTAACATAATGAGTAGTTTAGATACAAATATATTGAACTTCATGAAAGATATTGTAATTAATGCAAACAGCTACAATTATACATTGAAGATCAAAGAAGATATTATGAAGAAAGTTTACTTTATAATCTTTATTATGAACCTGAGCTTCATTCATCAGATGCAAGAACTTAGTCACAACTATATAATAATTATTTTTATTTTTTATTATTAGTTGTTGATATTTCATCTTTGCATTCTTAATTTTATTAATATTTTTATATATTTCTTATAGATATTTGAATAATTTCTTAGCTATTTTAAACTTCTTAGAATGATCTTTCTTTACTGTTAAAGTTAAATATCTAACAGCTTCTCTTTCAGTTCAGTTTTCAATATAAATAATATAGCTTTTCTCAGTTGAAAAGTGATTCATATTGACAGCTAGCTTGTATTTCATTCAAAAGAGTCAGTTTTCAAATATCAGTTCTTTCTTATTGATGAGATGCTTAGAGTCATCAAGTTTGACTGATTATTGTATCTGTTGAGTATTCATCAGTCTGGTTTAAGACATTAAAAAGTTCATAGTCTGCTGTAAGATATTTTATTCCTCTATCAAGTTATTCACTTGCTGATTAAGTTTACTCATTTACTTTCTTTGCTTATCTTGTTCTGCTCTAATTATTTCTAAAATATCTTTTGTCTTATTTATGAGATCAGCAATCTCTTGATATATTTGATCTGAATTTTCTTCAATTGACTTAAAAAATTATTCCTTTATTATGAGATTTCTTAATCTCATATTTCTTTTAATCAGATTCATCATATCTTAGTCTAATCTTCATAGATGATTAGACTTTTTAACTACTTTTGACATCTTAGCAATATTTTCAAAGGTTTAAAATAAAAGTTAGCAAAGATTCTCAGAGGTTTTTCATCTAAAAAATCTACTTTAAAAAAAGTAAAAAAGTTATTGATCTTAATATTTTGTCACAGCTTCAATCTAGATGCAGATGAACAGTTGTTCAATTACTAATTAAATAAACTATGTAAGTGTATATTAAAATGATTTTTAGAAGATAAGTTCAGAGAAAACTCTGTTTATATTATTCTTTTCTTAGCATAGTTGTCATGTGATTGTCACATTTACATGTTATTTGTATGTGAGATAATTGTGAGATTGATTGCTATGCTAATGTTTAAACAGTTTGTGATTTCTATGTCTAAACAGTTATAATTATCATTTATCTTAGTCTTATACTATTGAGAAAACTATTAAGCTCATTCTACATCATCATATAACTTTAATTTAAAATAATTAAAAATAATTTATATAATTCTTCTACTTTCTTTATTATATTTTATTATATAATTTAATAAAAAAATTATATAAATTATGTATAATTTATTTTAAAACTTAAAATAATAACTTTCTTTCTATATTTTAAAGTTGAATAATATTATTTAAAGTTCTTTTAATCTGAGTTATTTTTTTTAAATATAAGTTTTAAAATTAAGTTTAAAGTTTAAAGTTTAATTAAATTTTAAATTATTTTATAGAGTTTTTTAATTTTATAACTTTATTTTAAAGAATAATAATTTTATTTTTTTTTATTTTTCTAAAATAAAAATAATTTTATTTAATTTTTTATATTAAATTAAATTAGATTAATATTTTTTAAATTTTTATTTATATAACTTTTTCTATATTTTTCTATATTTTTATATAAATTTAAATTTAATAATAAAATTAATATTATTAATATAGTTAGAAGATTTTATTATATAAAATTTTACTATTAAATAACTTTATATATAAAGTAAATAAAATAAATAAAACTGAAAATTTTCAATAAATTTTTACTTTAATATTAAAATTTTTATTTTAATATATTAAATAAAAATTTATTACTTTTTTATTATATAATATATAATTTATTTTTTAAAATATAATTAAAAGTATTTTTTATATCAATAAAAATAGTAATTACTATTAAATTATTATTTATAATTATTTAAATATTATAAATTATTGATAAAATTATATTTATAATTAAATTTTATTTTTTACTTTTTATCTAATTATTATATAATAGATAAATAGTAATAATAAGAAAAAAAGTCTAAAATTAGTTATTTTTTTAGAATTTTTCTCAAATAATTCAGTAAAAATATAATTTTATAAAATTTAAAAATTAAGAGTTTTTTATTAAATTTTATTAAAAAAAATTTTTATAATTTTTTTCTAATAAATTAAATAATATTTATATTTTATAAAAGTAGAAAATAATATAAAAAAATTTTCTTTTAATTTAAAATATATTTTTTATATTATTAAATAATTTATAAAATAAAATTAAATTTAAAAGCTATTTTAATAAAATTAATAAAAATTACTATTATTACTTTATTTTTAATAAAATTAAACTATTTTCACATTATTTTATTATTATAATATTCTTTATAAAAGTATATTTTTTAAACTTTAATGATAATATAAATAAAATATTATTAAATATTTAATATTTTTCTTAAAAGTATTAATAGTATATTTTTATTTAAAATTTATATTTTAATATAAAAAATTTTACTATATTTTTACATTTAATATAATAAAAAATTAAAAATATATTTTTTTTATTTTTAAGAAAGTTATTTTAATATTTAATTTTAAACTTTTTAATACTATAAAAGTAATTATTTTTAATATCTTTATATATTTATAAGATATTTAATTTTTTTTTAAAGTTTTTTTAACTCTAGTTAAACTTTTTTACATTTATCAGCTAAAATTTAAAATTATTAGAACTTAAAAATATTTCAAATTAATAGTTTTATTGATATTATTTGTGAATATGTGATAATA